ACCCCTTTGTCATTCTGGAAACCATAGCTGTCAGTAGTCACTCTGTTCCCACCCCACGGTCCTCTCACCCTGGGCCCCAGCCAGCCACTCATCTCTGTCTGCACATTCCCTGTGCTCAAGTCATTTCAGTGAATACAGGAAAACATCTGATGATATCCAGAAACCCTTGATTACCAATTCTGAACAGATTAGACAGAAAAACAACACTCCTCAACATAGAGGCCAGATATGACAAACTCCAGGCAGCATCATCCTGAATGAGCAGGGTTTTGGTTTTCCTTCACAGTCTAAAACCAGTCAAGGCTAACCTTTTTTTGTTGTTGTTGATTTGTTACTGTTCAACACTATACTAGAAGATTTGACCCAAGCATCACACTTGGAAAGGGGAAAATAAAACTCCCCTGTTTAGAGATGACATGAAATTACATAGACATGAATTCAGAACACTATCAGATTTAAAAACAGAAAAGTTGCAGGGCACACAAACAGCATTTTCATGTACTAATAGTGAGTAATCTAGAAAAAAAATGTCAAGAAAATAATCCAAATATAATATTCTTTTAAAAAGTATAAACTATCGTAAGAGAGATGGTTCAGCAGATAGAGATCTTTGCTGCCAAGCCAGATGACCTGAGTTCAGTCCCCAAGAATGGACAAAGGACAGAACTGACCCCTGCTAGGTATTCTGTGGCTTATGCATATATTAATAAAATAGACCACTTAGGAACAAACTTAACTAGGGAGGAAAGGATTTCTACACCGGAAACTGTAAAACATTGATAAGAATCGAAAAAAGTGGGCTGGAGAGATGGCTCAGCGGTTAAGAGCACTGACTGCTCGTCCAGAGGTCCTGAGTTCAAATCCCAGCAACCACATGGTGGCTCACAACCATCTGTAATGAGATCTGATGCCCTCTTCTGGTGTGTCTGAAGACAGCTACAGTGTATTCATAAATAAAATAAATAAATAAATCTTTTAAAAAAAAAAAAAGAATCGAAAAAAGTGGGACTGGAGAGATGGCTCAGCTCTTAAGAACGCTTGCTGCTCATGCAGGCGACCTGGGTTTGGTTTCCAGCACCCACACTGCAGCTCACAAACATCTGTAACTCGAGTTCCAGGGGACCCAATACTCTCTTTGAGCCCTGAGGATACTCCAAACATGTGGTGCACATACATACGTATAGACAAGCCCTCATACACCTGCATACAGTAGAAAACCACGTAAAATAAAAATAAATCTTTAAGTCCATACTTAAACGATACCCAAAGTGTTTTGCACAGTTATTGTGACCCTTATCAAAACACCAACGACATCTTCACAGAAACAGAAGTTACTCTAATATTTGCATAGAACCACAAATGATCCTGAGTAACCAAAGCCTCTTTAGCCAGAAGAACAAAGCTGTGGGTCTTCAGCTACCCGCCTTTAAAGCTACCAAAGACCACTAACCACAGGGACACAGCATTGCCACCAAGAAGAGACATACATGTGGACCAGCACAACGGAACAGAGGATGAGAAGTCAGTCTGTAGCCGGGTGGTTCAAATTTTTTAAAGTTCCAAGAAGACATTTAACGAAGAAGGCTGTCTCATCAATGAATGTTGAGAAAACCAAATGCCCAGATACAGAAAGACAAGAACAGAGTTGGGGGTCCTGCCTGCTGACATCACAGCGCTTATGAGATGCAGGCACAAGGGGTATGTGTTTGAGGCTAGCCTGGGCATGTTCAGTGTGTTCTAGGCAAGTCTGAGTCACTAGCTGAGATTCTGACTCAAAAACAAATATACAACAAAACCTGACTGTATAAAAGAACCAATTCCAAGTCAAGGATTCTTAAATGTAGTACCAGCAACTTGGACAGTACAGAAGACAGAAGGATCGGCCACAGTGCTTTAGGCAGAGGTGTTTGGATAAAACTTCAGGAACATAGCAGACAAAAGCAAAAATCAGTTTCTGGGATCGGGTTAATTTAGAAAGCTTCTGGCCAAGAAAAATCTATAAAAGGTCACAGAATGGGAGGAAATCCCTTCAAACCATGCATCTGGTAAGAACTAGCATCTGAAATCCAGAAGGAACTCTGCTGCCAAGGAAATAAGCCAGCCATTGAAAAGGGCGGGAGACCTAGACACTTCTCACAAAATGGTCAACAAGTGTGTTGAAAATACTAATATCACCAATTGTCAAGGAAATCCAAGCGTAGGCCAAAATAAATGTGGGTAATCTCTGTTAGAATGGCAGCCATCAGAAGACAAAAGGTCATGGGGCGGACATAGAGAGGGGACCTGAGCTTACCATGGGAACATAAGTTAGTATATCATAGTCATCATGGAATATAGTATGGAGGGCTATCAGAACAGGGACAAGAGGAAGGACAAGCTCCCACAGTCCCTGTGCAGGTACATGGGAGGTCGTAATGGGACAGGCTGTGCCGTGTGTGCTGCAGCACTTCATAATAGCCAGTGAATAGCATCAGTTAAGAGACCAGCATGCATTGTGCACCCAGCATGCACAGTGGAATGTGAGGACCATTCGGCCTTTTAAGGGGAGCGTACCGGGGATGTCAGCGCGTGCCTATAAGCCCAGCACTCAGGAGTCTGAGGTAGTCACATTATGAATTCCAAGTCAGTCTGGGCTGCATGATGAAACCTGATCTCAAAAAAGGGAGATGAGCTGTCATTTGGGGAAAACATGGGTGGTACTGGAGGGTATCCGTGAGTGAGGTGAGCCGGGCACTGAAGGCTCATGCCCGTGACTTCGCATGTGGGATCACAAGCAGATCTAGGGGGAGAGAAGACCTTGGTGGTAACTAAAGCCTGGGGATTTGAGGGAATCCAGCTCCTTTCCCAGGAGTGGAGGATTTGTTTCTTGTGGTGCCTGCCAAGCCTGGTCCTGTTGTGATGCCATAGCTGGGTGTGCTTTGAGTTCAGTCAGGATTGGTAGGCGTCTGTCTCCATGACCTCAGACATGGTGAACCTGTTCGAGGTGCCTGGGGAGAGGTTTGGCTGGGTTTTAAGCAGGATTGAACTGAGAGTCTTGGGAGCCAGTGTCCTAGGACCCTGGGTGCTGATGCTGAGATAGCTGCTGGTCTCAGGAAAGCTGGTGTGGTACCAGTGGGATGGCACTGCACATCCTCAGGAGCCCGTCGTATGTATGTTTCAAAACTCAGCTTGTCACGGTAGATGAGCCACAGCCAGGTTCCAGAAATGCAGCCTGCTGAGACTGGGGGAAGGGCAGACATGTGTCTCGGGGTTAATAAGCTGGTATGCTTCTAGTTCATGCCGCTTGCCTGGGAATACATGTTTCTGTTTCTTACTGTATGGAAGCTGAAGTTAAGGTTCAAAGTGATGCCCTGGTTAAAGATCCTGCCTGCCCACCGCATGAGCCGGGCACTGACTTGCTGTGTGGGGCAGGGGTCTTCAGCTGTCCTTGTATAGCTGGCTGTGGAGGGAGCCTGGCTTCACCATGTTTGAGTTCTCACTAGATCCTAAAGTCGCACGTGGGAGGGTTACGCTGATTGGCTTTCTAGCCACAGGAGTACAGTGTTCCTGTGTGGAGCCGAGCCTTCTGTTACTGAGTTAGCCGTGTGCATTATTCTGTTCCAGTCGAACAGAACCCATGCAGTGAGCTTTACACAGGTGATGGTTACTATCAAGCTGGGCTAAGTCACATGACTGGAAAAGCTGCTCTGGGATGTTAGAACTCAGCGCAGTCCCTAGGGGGGATCTGAGAGGGAGGGTGGGGTGTAGTAAGGTAGCTGCCCACTGAGAGGTGTCAGGGTTGACTCCTGGTGCCACAACACAGCTGGTGACTAGTCGGATGGCATTAATGGGTTGTGTGGATCTGAAGACAGAGTGAGGACGCCTGGCGGGGTGGGTGGGAGGAGGTAAGAGGCCTGAAATGACCATGCTATGGGGTTACTATGTCTGTAGAGTACAGCAGCGGTGCCCAGAGCCTCTACCACGGAGAGAGGTTCCTTCCAGCACTGAGCCCTGCTCTCCATTCAAGTCCTCCCAGACATCACGTGGTAGAACCCTGGGGAGTCACATTGGAAACAGAGCCTGAACACATCCAGAGGTGATGTGTGCTCCTTTTTTTGGTGCGAAGTGATGTTCCAGGCGGTGGGTGTTCACTAATTGCTGTTTATGAGACATTTGTTTTGTGTGGTGATTTGAGTCTGAGGTATCTTCAGAAGAATCTGTTGGGGGTTGGAAGACAGCAGACGGGCTTTAGAAAGTTGGTGGACCCCGAGGTCTCTGATCAAATCAGTAGATTTAGCCTCTGATGGAATCTTGGCAGGGTGGCATTATTGGGAGATAGAGCCAGTTTGGGGGAAATGAATCACTAAGGGTGAGTGAGCTCTCCCAGTTCCTCCCTCTCTGCTTCCTGGTCACCATAAGGTGGACAGCCCTGCTCCACTCAGCTTCCGCTGGGATGCCTCATCACAGGTCCAGAAATGAAGCCTCGGAAACCCTGAGGCAGAATAATTCCTTTGTCCCTTAGTTGTTCTCTTAGAAACTTGTCACAGCAGCAAAAAAAAAAAAAAATTGACCAACACAAGTTGTTTCCAGACTTGTGTCTTGATGAGTACTTTTGATAAATGTTAATTTCGAGGTTTTCTTCTGTAACTAAGGATCTCTGTCTGTAAGGTCAATGCCTGGAGGGGCCACTGGTATATGACGCATCCTGGAAGGGCCACTGGTATATGATGTAGCGTATGTGGGGACTTCTCAAACGGCCCCTGGAGGGGTGGACCTGCTTCACATCCCACCACCGACAGACTCTGTCTGTTCTGGTGTTTGGAATCTGCTCCTGACATCACTCTGGATGCTGGCAGCATCCAGCACTACGCTCCTAGCACATGCTTAGCTCTAGTGGCTAAGGTGTCCTTGGTCATCACAGACACCCACCTATCTGCCGCAGAGTCAGCCCTGGGCTTCAGACTCTTTTAGGAGCTGTTTCTGAACGTTAGGGGTGTGTTTCTGTTGTTTCCTTTTACCTGCTTTGTCCCAGCATTTGAAAACCAGACCTAGGGAAAGAACTCGGTCTGGGGCACATGTGTGGTTTGCTTGGGGTGATGTTTAGCCTGACCTGATCATTACAGACTCATTTTAAGAGTTCTGTGTGGATGCATGGTTTGCCAATTTTCTGTTCTATGGACTGTTTTCTAATTCTGTGTTTTATAGATCCAAGTTTGTAATTTGGTCAAGCCTGCTTTTTTTATTTTTTTCATGACTTAAACTTTGAGTTGGCCTGTCTGTGAACTAAAAGAATCTTCCTTAGGTTTTCTTCTGAAAGCCTGACTTGGGGTTAAGTCTGTGGTGTGTCTGAGATGAATCTTGCCTAGTATATGAAGACGTTACTATTATTGCTTTTGTACATGGTTATCCAGCTGGTCAACTCTATCTAGTGAAAAGACAACATCCCTCATTAGCTTGCCTTTGCAGCCTTGGTGAACGTCAGTTACACGTGCTTGAGCAGATTGGGCACTGCCACCACCATGCCACCTTCATGCCTTTGACATTACAGTGTCTTAAAAGTGTTGTATGACTCCAGCAGCTTAACCCTTTGCTTTCAGTTACTTTAACTACAAATGTCAACTTTTGAATTTAAGTTTCACAGTGCTGGGGATCAAATTCAGGGCCTGTACCTTCTCAGCAAGTGCTCTGCCACTGAACTATTACTCCCTACAATCCTGCACATACCAGTTTTTTTATTTGTGTATGGGGGGGCATGCACATGCCATTACATGCATGTGGAGAGCAGAGGAATACCTCAGGTGTTGGTCCTTGTCTCCACCTTGCAGGACTTCTTGTTCACTACCATTTATAGCAAGATAGCTGGCCCTTGAACCTGCAAGAACCCTCCTGTCTCCGTCTCTCATCTTGTGGCATGCTTACATTACAGATACACATGGCCACATGCTTGCATTACAGATACACATGGCCACATGCTTACATTACAGATACACATGGCCACATGCTTACATTACAGATACACATGGCCACATGCTTGCATTACAGATACACATGGCCACATGCTTACATTACAGATACACATGGCCACATGCTTACATTACAGATACACATGGCCACATGCTTACATTACAGATACACATGGCCACATGCTTACATTACAGATACACATGGCCACATGCTTGCATTACAGATACACATGGCCACATGCTTGCATTACAGATACACATGGCCACATGCTTGCATTACAGATACACAGAACCACACTTGGCTTTTGCATGGCAAGGACTTGTCCACTGAACCATCTTCCCAGCCCCTCAGCCCAAGAACCAGCTTGTCTGTATCTACAAAGAGTCATTTGGGGTTCTTAATTGGAATTATATCACACCTGTACATCACTGGAGGAAGAATTAACAATTACTAATTCCCAATCCATGAACATGGTGTGTCTTTCTGTTCACTTAGATCTGACCTGCCTTTGTGTGCGCCATCTTCAGCAAGCAGGTGCTGTCATGATTTGTTGGACATACTCAAATGTTTCTTCTCTTTCCTCTTTTCCTTTTCTTTATCTTCTGTTTCAGATAACCAAGTGTGTGCACGTGCTGGTTTCTAGTTGTTCGTTGATAGTCTGTAGCAGCACCGCTAGCTCTGGGCGGGCATGCTGCATCCTCTAGTAACCTGGCTAAGTTCACCCGCTAGTCCAAGGACATTGTTTGACTTGAGTCTGTAATATATTGGGAATTTCATACATGTCGAGTCTTTTGCAGATAGCAGCCCTTCTATTTCTTCTTTTCAAATTTTAATTCATTTATTTTTCTTGCAGTTCCTCCAATTAGGATTTGCATCACTGTGTCTCATAGAGGCAGGAAAGTGGGCATACTTGTGCGTGTGTGTGCGTGTGTGTGCGTGTGTGTGTGAGAGTGTGTGCGTGTGTGTGTGAGTGTGTGCGTGTGTGTGCGTGTGTGTGTGTGCACATATGCATGTACGCATGTGTGTGTGACACAACATAGATGTGGAGGTCAGAGGACAGCTTGTGGAGTGGTAATCTCCTGCAGAGTATTCCAAGGTTGAAGCTCAGGTCATCAGATTTGTCAGCAGGCTCCTTCACCCACCAGTGTGTGTCACGGTACATCGTGAGTTCTAGGCCAGCCTGGCTACAGAACCATGCCTCAAGAGAAAGAGCAGAAGGCTGGCGCTCTTAAAAACAATGAGGAGTGTGGATTGAGACTTGTTAGGCAGCAAGGCCAATCATTCACCACTGCCCTCAGGCGTTGTATCTGAGGTGCAAGTGTATGTGCTGATATTACACAGCCAGTTTATACAGCGTGACCACAAACAGAAGCCCCATGGTAAAGACATATCGTGTCCATGACAGTGCCAGAGTGGCCACAGGGTCTACTTGACATCCAGGAATTCATTCCCTTGGTTGGTTACTCTGAACAAAGCTATTGCTGTCCAGAGTCAGGGTGCTGCCAGCTGCTTGGGTAGTGCTGGTAAATGTTTCACAGCTTCTGAGAAGTATGCAGAAGTGGGATTCAGGAACAGTTTTTAAGAGTGGACAGGCACTGGCCTCAACTTCAGGACAAGGACAGAGGAGGATCCCAGGCTCATGCGTGACTGAGGTCCACCCATTGAAGATCATAAGTTCTAAAGATTTCCAACTATCTGGTTTCAAAAAACAAAAAACAAAAACAAAAAAAAACACCATTTGATCTGTGGTGGAGTTGGAAGCCACCTGCCTGGGTCAACAGTGGGGTACAGGAGCAGAGGAGACCCCAGTGCTGCCCTCCTCTGACCTGCATGTCTCTCCTCCTTTCTGCAGGTGACCCCAGGGTTTGAGGAAAAGGAAGGGGAGCTGCTAGTTAGGGGAGCCTCCGTGTTTCGAGAATACTGGGATAAGCCCGAAGAAACGAAAAGTGCTTTCACTTCGGATGGCTGGTTCAGAACAGGTAGGACAAAACTCTGAAGTGGCAGAGGGGACTGCGGTGGAGGAGGGTCTGGTCTGTGTTGGTCTCTCAGCCTGTGCATTCCAGAACCTCCCACTGAAGGCGGAAGCGGTTGGAGGCTGCTGTTTGACACCCTTTTGAGTGCCTCTTGCCAGCTACTGGAGAGGGTCTGAGGCGATTGCTCTAAAAGGAGCCTGGAGCCCTGTCCTCCAGACATAGCATTCGCACTGCCCTGCCAGCTGGCCACGTTGCCAAAGCCTTGCTGATGCCATGATTGTGGTCCTACCGCCCCGGAGGTCAGGCCCCCCTGTTCTCTTGGGTACCCTGCTCTTCCTGTCCACACAGCCATCCTCTTGCTCTGTAAATCCCCCTCCCCACCGTGGGTCAGAAGCAGGTTCATTTACCGTGATTTGGTCTGGTTTAGGTTGCATATCCAAGTTTGGTCTCCTCTGTGTGGCCTGTGGGGCTCCTGGGTGAGGGCAGGAGGCTCGTGCAGGCTGAGAGGCACACTGTATGGACTGTGACCTCTGAGCGTCAGTCCTCCTGAGCCCCTCCTTATCTTGTGGGAATCGTGTCCTAAGGACACTGTGGCTGTGCTGGAGTTGCTGGCTATGCGGCTTTGTCCGTCTGCTGGTGTGGTTTTCCTGAAGTTCATCACCAGCACGTGAGACACTGACCTCAGGACGTCAGCCTTCTGGTTGCTTTTCCTTTTTGCCCTTCTAGATTTCTAATGTTTTGTGTATATGCTTTCTTTTCTAGTTCTTAAGGTAATACTTTTCAAAAAGAAAGGCCTGTTTCTCATGTGACATCCTGGCCCATGTAAGAGAGGCGGTTTTGACCATGTTCTTTTGGGGAGCAAAGCCTTGTGGGGGCCATGTGCCCCAGGTGGGTACTGTGGCTCATCTGAGAGACGTGGGGTCTGTAAGTAAGGAGGAGGCAATTTATAAGTTTGCCAGATGTGACCTCAGTCTGGTCAGCCCAGAAACGTGTTGTCCTGGCTACCTTGGGCCAATATACTCTAGCTCAGTGGGGGCATCAATCCAGCACCTCCAGGGAATGCCCAGGGTCCACAAGTGGAGACTCACAAGCTCCTGGGCATGCCCTGCTGGTTCTTCAGGCACCACTGTTGCAGGGTCTCACCAGCTCGGTGTTGGAGAACCTGATGTGATTCTGTGGTGATTGTATCAGTAGATCAGGGATGGAAAGCGGTAAGCATATAACACACGGCTCCCCAGTGCTCTCTCTGTAAACATCCTGGTTAATGCCAGCTATCTGGGGGAAACAAACCTCCCACTATTGTCCCTCCAGTGCAGTATTTAGGAAACCCTGCTTTTGAGTGAACCCCACGTGTGGCAGGCCCCTCCACCTTCGCCTTCTGCACAGTCCCTGCGGGATCCCAACTTGCTTTGTGGTCACCTTCTTTTATGTTTAGGTTTGGATAAAAGGCTGTGTTCCTCCCTTTAGAAACACGGAGCAAGCCCTATAGGTTTTACTGATGTTGGGACTCACGGAGCCCTGGGGTGCAGCAGGAGCCACGTGGACAGTGAGCGCTCCGGGTGGGCCTTTCTGCTGAAAAGGAATAGCATGCATTAATTATTGTAAAGAGATGTCTTCAGGAGAAAACGATTTTGAAATTCAGTTTAATTTCATTGTAACGTGCTGCAAACAGGAAGGGAGTGTGTGTGTTTAATTGGCTCTCGGGGGTGAGGCCGGGAGCTGGCAAGCCTTTGTCACAGGCCATTAGCGATACAGGCTGCATAATGAGAGCGCGCAATCAGCTCGCAGCTGCCGCTCCTACGAGGAGAGCATGATATTAAGTAGAAATCAGGATAAATTAAACTTAACCCTTTCCCTAGCTGTCCCTCCTGCCACGCGGATTGAAGTGTAAGCTGGAGAAAGGCTGCCCAGGCCCTTGGGAAGAGCTCTTCCACGCCCTCTCCCAGGCCGTCCGGGTCAAGATGAGAGGAGGATCTCCACCTTCCTTTCTGCGATTCTTCTTGGCCCAGAGAATAAGTAGAGGAGCTCACAGGGTCGGTGGCTACTCAGAAAGGAGCCGAGGCCTCCCTTGCTACCAGAATTAGTCCCCCTAACTCTGTGACTTCCAGCAAACTGTTTAGAACCCATGGCCTGCCTGGAGTTTGGGCCGCAGGCAGGCAGTCGTGGTGAGCCTGGGGTCTGGAGTTAGGCTGTCCTTGGCAGGTG